AATTCCAAGTATACCAACATGTCAAGACGTCTTCCCATATAGCCAAATTAGAAAAGCTGAAATCTGGAGGAAAAGCACTGTCATCTTTGTCCAAATGTTTTCAACCTACAGATAAGAATGAGCTTAACGAACAACACCTATTCAACCAGGATTTATGTCGTGTAATGGTGGCGTCCAATATTCCATTGTCGAAGTTAAGCAATGAAAACTTCAGTTCATTCCTGCAAAAATATTGCAAATTTAATGTTCCTAGTGAGAGGGCTTCGAGGAGGAACGACGTGAGTTGTTTATATTCTTCAGTAATTGAAGAAATAAAAGTAATCATTGGCAATAACTACTTTTATATATGTATGGATGAAAGTACTGATTCCATGGGATGGTATATTGCACACTTAATGGTCGGTGTTCTCAGCGAAGAAGTGTTACCAAAATCCTATCTCATTGCGTCAAAACAATTAGAAACAACCAATGCTCTAACAGTGACCAGGTTTATCCAAGAAGAACTTGCAGCATTCTTTCTTCCTGCAGCTATTCCTACCGACAATCTCTTGCTTTTGTTGTCGGATGCAGCACCTTACATGGTAAAGGCGGGACAAAATTTAACATACATATAAATACATATGTACCATCGTCACTAAAAGTAACTGGGACAGCATCACATTAGCTCTTGTCCTATTATATGAATTTTATTGTCAAATATTTGTCAAACTATGCATTAAATGCATTAAAATGAATGACATTAGAATTAGTCCAGGAGATTATTATGCATTATTCGTGTCCCAGTTACTTTTGGTGACGATGGTACTTCGTATATGATTTTCCCATATATTTTTGCAACCCATCTGAACAGGTTAATTGAATAGGTACCTATCAAAAAGGTGTAAATACAACATTTGTATTTACATCTTTTTGATACCTACCTATCCAATCAACCAGTGCCGGTGGGGTGTAAAAATATATGGGAAAACCCTGTACCTACGTCCCAAACACATTCCTAAAAATCTATACTAAATACGTACGTTAATGTACGTCCCAAACACGTACCTAAAAAGCCGTACTGAGTACGTACCTAAATGTACGTACGTGGGACGCACTATTTTGTGGAAAACGACCGTCATAAAGACGTCCCTCGTACGTCGGCGGGACCTAAAAAGTACGTCCGCGGACGTACTTTCGTCCGAAAAAGTACGAATTATGGACGTACTAAAGACGTACTTGTGTTTGTTGGGTATGTCCCTCAGAAAAAATGAAAATATTCATAGCAAATGCCGCAAAAACTGAGAGTAGTTCTGAAGCTGATGGATAGAATCATTTATTTCAAAAATATGTATTTTGTAAATATTTTTGTTTTAATATCCTTTATGTGTTATGTTAGAGATGCTCAGGGAAAACCCTAGCTTCAGGAGGACGTGAAGGATAGTCAGGTCTAGCCGACTGTATGTTATGGCTGGCCTCATAGATGAACACCCAATATAATATGGTCACAACCAATGGCATCACAACCAATAGTCACAACCAACTACCTGGCGCGAACGGCACCTATACCTGTGACCTAACTATACCAGAAATGGGAAATGTCAAAGTTTATGTAGAATATAATATTTTTTGAAATAGATTCTTTGTGTGCAGTCCTTACCAGGCCCTGCGATCTCTCATTGCCAGTTATAAACCACATAATAACTCTTTTCCGATTTTCTAGATGTCGCTGACAACCACAGAATTTTCAAAATTGTAAAATACCAGCACATCAAGAACACGTCCGATGTCGATAACTGACATGTCAACATATGACAATATGCCAAAATATTCATCATAACTAATAATTCATAATGTTTTTTGTTCGCCGGTCTTGTATTTCATCTTTCTTTGTGTTGTCAAGTGTTCTTAAGTGTTCTTAAGTGATTTCAAAGTTGTTTTGTGTGTTTCAAGAAGAACTTCAAACTTTATAGATTGGATCTATTTTTATCTTTGTTGATTAGATAAATGACAGGTTCAATTAAACATCAATCAGAACTTTGAATAAATATGTGAAGGATACCCTTAACCATTGATAAGAAACTGTCTTTTGATCTAATTAATAAATTATCAATCAATTTAAGGAAACATTGATGCCCCAAAGTCTAGAATAAACAAATTTGAACAAACCGAGAGTAATGCGAACATGGCGCCATCTATCATAAAAAGTCCTATGTAAAGTAGGTGTCTGTAGCATCGATTTAAAATCAGTAAATAGTGATTTTTCGATATAGTAGATGGCGCTGGCTAGGCTCAATTTTGTTGACAACAAAATTTACACTGAGATTCCATTCTCGACAGTTTATATAGTATTTATCTCTGGTCATTACGTTCTTTCATTGATTCCTTCTAACATCAAGAATTTTCGCGCTTACATGTGAATATTTACAGTGTAAGATAAAATATCATACCAAATTGAGTGTTTTGTGAAAGCTCCGATGAAAGACATTATTGACGGAAGAGACGAACAGACGGAACTTTAAAGCGTCAGGCGGAAGTTATAGCCCACGGAAAGTGTCTGGCAGTAATGAATATTGATTTGTAATATTATTCTCTAAAACATAAATATAAAAACCTCTATCTACTATAATCTATCCTACAAATTTTGTCCTTTAGAAAATAGGTTACGTCAGAGAGTCTTGGACTAACCCAGCAAACACACTACATACTTAGAACGTCCATTTTATGTCAAATTTACGTCCGTACGTCTATATGACCTATTCAGAACATTCAGAACGTACATAAGACGTACACTTTTGTACCTTTTATGTAGGTACATATTTAAACATCCATATTACGTACAGTTACGACCACCATTTTGGTTTTATGTTTAAAGTGTAAAATACAAACAGATCTGTAGGAATTTAAATTTGAATAAAGTTTTTTTTAAAGATAAAAGTCAAAATGACATTCTGTTGGCAATACAATGTAAAATTGTCAATGCTTTCAAATTTTTTATGTAGAAAAGGCTTATGTTGCCAACATAAAGTTTGTTTTTTATTTAAAGGTAATTCCCCAAGTCAAAAATTTAGTAACTATATTGACAACACAAGCCTTTTCTACATAAAAAATTTGTAGGCATTGACAATTTTACATTGTATTGCCAACATAATGTCAGTTTGACTTTTATCTTTAAATAAAAAACAGACTTTAGTTACTAAATTTTTGATTTGGGGAATTATATTTAAAAAAAAAACAGACTTTCTTTAAATTTCGCTCTCATTTATGGTCATTTTGAAATTTGATAAATGATGACGTAGATGTTAGAGTATAGTTAGCGAAAGAGAGGTGTAATATCCTTGTTCCGAGATTGAGGTTATGTCTTTATGTCTTATTAGGCATTCCAGGTTAATGTCATAACCGATCCGCCATATTAGTTTGGGGGGCACACAAAAGCCAAACATAACCTGATTCAATGTTAAACCAAGAATTTTCAATCTATTTTGTGAAGATGCCTTCTATTTGCTGCGTTGTTAGGTGCTCTAGTCGAGCGGAAAGAGATAAAGAAAGGTTTTTCAGGATCCCAGCAGCATTAAGAAATCTAGGGAATCGTCTAAACGAGCTAAAAAAGGAATGACGAAATCTGTGGATTAAATGCCTCAAAAGGAGAGATTTAACTGAATCGTTTCTGAAAAATGCTCGTATTTGTTCAAAACATTTTGTTAATGGTAAGTATTATGACTGTCTTGTTAAAATACAAAAACACATTTATATTGAAAAATTGGTTTGTTTCTACAAGTAATATTTACTTTTAATACCTTTTAGGTAGTCCAGCAGAACTTGAATAACCCTTTATATACGCCTTCATCTGCAAGCCTGTGTAGTAACTGTGGGTGTGGGTCAAATATTCGGATAAATCCAAAATTGAAACCTCTGGCAACTCATTGATACTTAAAGTAAACTCATTAGGTAGAAGTTTATAAGGATCTATATTGGCAATTATTTGTATTTTTTGGTCATACCGACATTTCACATCACTAGCTAACGATGAATAATAGTCAATGTTAGCCATTCTACCACAAAAACAACTTAAAACTTATTGAGAGAATTTAAGAACGCAAAAATTCGGAAACACAATCTCAAAGAACGGTGTAAATACTGATCTAGGCTTTGTTTGCCCCCCAGCGGACCTGTCAAAAGTCACGTGACCTGGAATGCCTAATGTGAGGTGGTGGCGAACGACACGTTATTTTATTTTTTAGGTTAGAAGCCTGTTAGAAATTTTGTGCAAAAGTTATGTGAAAATTATTTAATAAAGAAAATACAGCAACAATTTAGTTAATTAGACCCATCCCTACAAATTCAGAAGTGAAATAAGCAAAAAAGTTTATGTGTTATTGTGATTGTTGATGGATATTTCCAGAACACGAGGTTAAAAATTAGTTGTACTGTAGACCTGCTCTAAGGTTGTTATAGACAGAATATTCCCAATTTCACAGTGAAACACTGTTGTGCTAATTAGTTTACCAGAGTTCCAACTCAATCAATCCTTAACAGAATGTTGTTGCAGTTCTTTTAGGTTATGCTTTATTTATGTAGGTATAGTTGCAATACATTTGAATTAATGTTTTTCTTTTGTTGTTATTCCATTATTTAGTAAGCTAATAGCGAATAAATAATAAACGATTTGGGTAAAAAAATCCTCTTTTATTTGGTTTGCAATATGTACTCAATTAGGTCTTCAAGATGTATCATGGACGTTTTTTATGGCTCTAAGTTGTACGTCTTTAAGACGTATTATGGAGTTGACAAACGACTTGCCCATTACGTCTTCAAGACGTACTTGGCTCTAAAATCGACGTCTTACAAACGTACACTATGTCATAACGTTACACCTTATGTACGTCTTTGGAATGTAATTGTGTTTGTTGGGAAGGACCGATTTATCAATCACCCAACAGCTGAACTACATAACAGTCCACTGATAAAATACTGGTTGTTTGTTGTTTCTATCAAATTTGACATATTGTTGAGAAAACTCATGTTCGAAATTTAAAAAGAATAATTTCGATTAAAAATGTCGAAATTACAAGAAAAAAAATCGCAACTACGTAATAAATCTGAAAAAACGAGGCTAGTCGAGGCAGGAACCCAGGCAAACCTTCCAGTTTGCTATAGGATGCCGAGCCGAAAAGATGATTTTCACGACATAATAATGGAATTTACAATAAATTGTCTTTTGGACCAACCAAAGGATTTAGTCGACTATGCTGCTGAATATTTTGCAACTATACAAGAACCAAATAAAGCAATAGTCGTTGAAGAAAAATGCAATCAAGAACCATCGGAACCTAAAGAAATCGAATCTGAAACCCAAGAAATCTGTACCTTACCGATAGACGACATATTATCTAAAACAGATGAGCCTGAATACAATCCTTTGTTGAAATTTTAATTAGAAGTATAGCCAAAACAATTTAAATAAATATATTTTTGCCACTTATACTAATAGATTCTTCCTACCCATATATTCATTGATAATTATAGAGCCATTCGGATAAGTTAAGTCAAATAGATCGATGGCTTTGAGCATTGAAATTCCATCAACTCCCAACGGTTCATTAACTACTAATAGCATCAGCTTACATTTGATAAATTTCCCACTGGAATATCAAAGAGGGAGTTTTTGACGCATGACAGCTGGATTGCACTGATTAGCCTTTTCGAGAGAATAGTTTAGTTAAAAAAAAAACTAACTACTGAATTATTATGATTATGCAACTCACTGTACATTATTCCCATATGACACGAGAGGATTAAAAAGTGATAATCCTTCCCATATGACACGAGAGGCTTAATAATTGGTAATCCTTTTGCACGGTAACTGGTGTTTTGACATTTTTTGACAAAAAATTTAAATTTTTGATTCATGAAATTATTAATTAATAAAGAATTAAAGGTTAGTTTGTTGTATAACCTTTTGAATACCACTCGAGTTTTCAGGATTACCTAATACTTTTACCTGACACTCAACGCGTTACCAGCAACACCACTCCTCCTTCGGAGTCGTGGTGTTGCTGCGTAACGCGTTTCGTGACAGGTAAAAGTATTATCCGGTAATCCTGAAACCTCTTGTGGTATTACATTCGATAATACAAGCAATATGCTGGATTCCAAAATCTCAATTTATGTATTAGTTGGTGAAATCTTTTGGAAAATTAATTGTCGGTTAGAAAGTAAATTATATTAGACCGTGCTTACGAGAGGGGTTTATTTGGGTAAATAGGTTTGTTGTGTTTCAGTTTAAGGGTTAATGATGTAGATGATGAGATCCATTAGGACGATTGCGCCGTTGTAACTTTACAGACCGAAAAACACGAAAATCCTATAGCCGTTTTATTTTAGGCAGAGTTTATTTTAAATGTGAAATCATTGAAATTATTTCAAAAAAAAAAAATAACGATTCAATTCCAAGTATCTCTTTCACTAGAACATAAATTAAAATTATAAGCGAAGGTTTGCATCCAAAGTGCATTTTATAATTCCCCATTTTAGGCGATTTTTCTAGCAAAATATTCCCCTTCTATATAAGTTTAAAATGATTTCAGTTCTCCAGGTTCAAATCCAATATATATGATAATGCGTTCTGGAATCTGTCATGTCTATTTACCCGTTCCGATTCACCAGGAATTTGGTATTCAAAGTTTTATGGACCTCGGTGCCGGTGTTCCTACAAAAATGCCTTTAATGTTTCACTTGGGGCAATTTTTATCTGGAGCGTAACTTTAGGAATATCGTTTCTGATGCGAAAAGACATCAGCCGCTTTATCTAAACGGGACAGTTTCAAAAAATTATACCTTGAGCAAATTCGTTCTTGCATATTTTGAAGTTTTATTTGAAATGAAAATTGAATTGTTTGTTATATTGTCCTTGAAGTTTAATATTGTGTCTTTTTGGAAAGCAAAACATTAATTTTCTCTGTCCCGAAACGATTCTTTTGTATGGCGGGGAACATAAAATGTATCTGTATAACAGTTGGGACGAGGATTGCGTAATTTGGTTTTCCAATTAGGGTGTCCCTGAGTTTGCTGCAAATAAAAACTCTCTTTGTTGAAGAGCGTCGTCGACCCAAATAGGATTTTTTAACTGGCCGTCCAAGGATAATTAAAGCTATCCTAAGAATGTGGGTCAGTTGAAATTAAATTGGACTCTAGTTTTTGTGTGTCTCTGAGTTATAGCTAACATTGTGTAGAGGTATACATCTAACGAGTGTGTCTATTAATCACTTTATTTGTTTCTAATGAATCTAGTACTTATCTCTCTGAATGATTGAGAGAAATGGCATAGAAAAGAGGGACAATCGAAGCGTCTCAGTAGCAAAATCCTGCGACTTATCTGGATCTTAAAATAGTAGAGTAGAGGGTGATTTCGAGAGGTCACTAAATTGGAGTTCCTTAGATATGGCATCTTTCTTGGGCCGACCGGTTCACCTATATCATCGCTTGACCGAATTTTGTAAAGGACTGCGATGTTGCTTGATGATGTGTCTTCCTAAGATAAGTTTCCTTATGGCTGTTTCCTCTTTCCATCAACTCATTAAGGGCCTTCTTGATACTAGGTAGAGTATATTTTGGGGGAGAAATCGTTTCATTTTCCACCAAACCTAATCGTTTCCAAAACTGGCTTCTTGAGAAGTTGCTTTTGCCACTCATCAAGGGTTTGCAAAGCAAATCTGATTAGCTTAAAGCATTCTCTAAATTCAGGAATATCAAAATTAGGCGAGCCCTATCTATTCTTCGCCTACATGAAACAAGGTGGAAAACTGTCATTATCGCAATAGAGATGTCCCACTATTTCAACTGACACCTTCTGGACTAATTTCACGACTATGTTGAGATGCTTCCTTAGCTGGTACTATCAGATGGAAACAGATGAAAAACCTATACATTTCAAGGTACTTCGTAAGAGTAGATTGAGTAACTAAACTACCCAAGGGAGTCGATAGATAGTTGCCTAATATCATCTATGGGCGTATACCAATTTTTTTTTAGAGTGGGGATTGGAAATGCGTTATGCACGCCTAGGGCATTGGTGTTCGTGCGCCCTAGGCAGTGTGTTTCTCTCACCCACTAAATCCCTTCCCCTACTCTTCGCGTTTATGTCGCCCCTGGGACCTCCTTTCAGTATTTTTTCAGGGGAGGTTTGCGGAACTCATCCATTCGTTTTAATTATCCTTATTATTGTCTCTGGGGCTCCCCACTATCTTCTTCCCTGCTCTCTTTTATCCTCATTATCCTCTCAATCACCTCGGTCACTGGTCGCCAGTCGTGTTCGCTTCTTATCAAGAGATCTGCAACATTTTCAACTGTAATCTTTGTCCCGCACCTTTCGGCTGTTTCATCCCTTATAGTCTCAAATGCCGAGCATTTAAACAGAGTATGTTCTGGTGTATCATTCTTCTTCGCAGAACCAACATATGTCATCCTCTTGTTTTTTTTTTTTAATTTTATTGAGGTAGCTCTTAAAGATACCATGTCCCGTGATCGCCTGGGTCAGGTATTAGTTTGTGTCGCCCCACTTTCGTAGGTATCGTTCTATATGCTGACGTGATCATGATTGCAAGTTTTCCGTTTACTCTAGTTAGCATGTGTACATAGCATTTGTATCGTAGAGCCAGTTGTCACACAGGAGCAGCGTACAAAATTGCCGAGGTAACGGCAGAGGCCATTGTTCGTCTCTTGCATGCCATTGGTTCTCTCGTGTTGGGCATTAGTCGCAGGTTCTTCATCCGGTAGGCCGTTTCGGATACATACTTGATATGTGCCTTCATGCGTAAGTCTCGGTCTAGGGTCAGTCCGAGATATTTGACGGTGTCTGAGCTGTTTACTATGGTTCCTTTGTTACAAATAATTTTGAAATTTGTTACTTTAAGACAAGATAACCTAGGGTCGTGAATTCAAAGAAAAATTAAGATAACGTGTAGCCCCTCAAAATCCAACAAACAATAATTTTATTTTGTTTACAATGTTCTATGTAAAATTTTAGTGTTAACAGCTTGGTTTTTCTTGGTGAATCTGATACCAAGTACCTGCTTTCCAATTCGGAGCTCTTCAATGGGTGTTGGGGTTTCACTTTCGTGAACTGGAGCTCTTCGTGTTGTTTCCTGTATCCAGGAAGAGGATAGATTGCTGGGGTGACGTCACTCCAGCTGATCCAGACTCCAAACAGTGATCTTTATGTAGAGTAGGTACCCAGAAAAGAATAAGGAAGTATCCGGTTCACCAATATTTGGAATATTAAAACCCTGAATTCTGTCAAAAAAGTGAGTGTCTTGCAAAGAAAATTATATTGAAATTTAATGTATAAAATGATTGTTGTACACTCCCTTCCAACAGAATCAGGAATAAAAAACTATTGCAAGTAAAAAAAATTAATAATATTTTAATTAAAAAGAATAATTGAATAATTAAGAATAATGATAAGATAATAGTAAAATAAAATAATAACAAGATTCAATTATAATGATTATGATGCTCGTTATAATTGAGCAAAAATGCTGCTTTCCTGACAGCAGTTCTGGCAGGAAAAAAATACGAGCAAAAATATGAGCAAAAATAATGTACATAAAACAATAAAAAGAAATTAAATCTCTGGATTCTTCCCTAGGAAGACAAAATTTTCCTGTCGAATTAAGGTAGCTACCACAGATACTAGATAAACCTGGGGTTGAAATTAATCAAATCCAGAATGTGTCAAAATTCTTGAGATGTTTTAATTAAAACTTTTTAACTGAATTTTTTGACCTGTCTGGATTTCTATTAAAAAATTACACCCTTTAGTTGAGATAATAATTTAGGGAGTCAAACAAAAAATGGCTGTTCAGGCCTCTGCCTGGATTCAATAAAGAGTAAATGGGGATGGACTCACAAATTTGGTTCTCACCGACTCTATTTAGAGCAAATGGTCCAATATTCCCACACTAAAAATTGATTCTGAAAACCAGAGCAGCAGTACCTATTTAAAATCCAAAAATCTGTGTTGACTTACCTCTTAACAAAACGTGTAGCACTAACTAATTAGCACTCACACAAAATGGAAGCCAACAATTAGATAAAAAAAACCTTAAAATATAATATTTATATTTCAAGAACACATAAGATGGCAATGTAGTCTCCTCACTCATACCACCCACAGGTCTTTCCGCACGTGAATTTCATCATCTTAGACTAACTCAAATATCGCAGATAAATAACGACCTGGAGATAATAGAGGACTGGGGTAACAAAAACCTTGTACAGTTCAACGCACAGAAAACCCAAGCAGCTCTGTTTTCAAAAAAGAACAGCACCGGTGAGCCAAACATCATGCTATCTGGAAGTGCTGTCACATTACAGAGTCAGTTGAACATCTTGGGGGTTACTACAGAGACCAACATGTCTTGGCACAATCACGTGGCAGATA